CTCCATGTTCCGACCACCGCCTATTCCTCAGCAGTACGAACTTCAGACGTTTCAACTGCCGGTACGCCACTTGGTGTCTGCGCTCCTCGAGCCAGCGATGAACGCAAACCAACCACATCGCTATAACACACACACACACATGTTGGGGCTGCATACAAGACCGCCGATCGCAATGAAGCACGCCCATCGAATCCGACCACGCACTAGTTTATGCAAAGCTGTTCCATGTACTTCGGTGAGCCTTCCAAAAGCACGACACAACGACGGTTAAACTGTGATAAGCTGTCCGAATCAGCTTGTCGAACCGTTTTTCAAAACGCGCTAGTTTGGAAGCTGAAACCAACCCCAACCGATGAAATAAACAGCACTAATCGGTTATCAATAATGCTCTGCATTCTGCTAGCTTAGTTTGTTGTAGTCTGGTCTGGTCGTGCCATGTCACCCTGGATTTCTGCGGAGTCTCGACACTTCCACGCACGCCGATCAACCCCGACCGACATCGAGCATGCTGAAACACGAATCTTAACGAGACGTAACTTCAAAGCAAGCCTACGCATAGACCATGAAATCTGATGGACTAAACGCGAATAAGAGATGGACAGCGCTGTCGCCATTGGAAACTTCCGTAAGCTGTTCTATTTCATCCAGGTCACCGGCAGGAAAGCTCTGGGTGCGGACGAAAAAAAATCTGCGGAACTGATGGCTTGCCCATTCATAATCAACATCGACGTCTTGCACTCTGGACGGAGCACTTCGAGGCACAGTTTGGCTGACCACGAGCGTCAGTTTCTCACACAGCTACTCCGGTATACGTCTCATGGTCTGTCTCAACAGACCAACCTTCAAGGGCGAAAATCCGTAAGGAAATTCAAGCCTTGGGATGTCACAAGGAGCTGAGTTCCAATGACCTTCCCAAAGTCTATAAAAAGATGGTGGAATGAAGTTTGTTAAAGAATTAGTGCCTCTGTTCTCCAAAGTTTGGCATACTGAGCAGGTTCCCTCCTCGTTAGTGGAATCGATTGTCATCCCTATAATCAAAATGGTCCGCGCAATGAATGCACTAATCATAGGAGTGTAAGCCTCACCCAAATAGCATCAAAGCTGTTGGCGTCCGTCATTCTTCGTAGGTTGCACAAGACGCGTAAGGAGTAGACCCATGACGAGCAGACTGGGTGCGACACCGGGCGCAAGCCCATCGATAAGATCTTCACCCACCGACAGCTGCTAGAGCACCGTCAGGCCTATCAAAGACCAATGAGCACTGTGTCCTTAGACGTCTGCGCGGCCTTCGACTCTGTCCATAGGACCGCACTACGGAACTGTTTGTTGAGGAGTGGAGTACCAGGGAAGTATTTGTCGATCCTCATACCTCAGGTCGGGTTAGGGCCCATGGCCATCTTTCGCCACCCTTCGCCGTCTCCAGTGGAGTTTGACAAGGCTGCCCTTTACCCTCATTCCTTTTCAACTTTGTCATAGAGGATTTTCTACGGAATGCTTTGTCCAGTCTAGCAAACGGTGGAGTCGAACTCCTAACAGGGAACAGAGTCCTTGACTTAGAATATGCCGACAGAATCGCCTTGCTGGGTGGCAATACACAGGTAGTCTAACACGCTTTGAACCGCTTGGCGATCGAGATATCCAGATATGATATGTGCACCTTCCAACTGCAAAGTACTTGTTCAAGACTGGCAGGAATCTGTGCCTACACTCACCCTATGTGGTGATCAGCTGGAAGTAGATGAGAGCTTTAAGTAGCTAGAAAGCATGATCGCAGCAGGTGGTGGTATTGGGGAGGAGTTCACATCACGAACAGTGAATTCTAGAGCAGCTTTTGCCAACCTGTAACACCTGTGGTGCCGCCATGACATCCGCTTGTCCCTCGACGCGGTTCGGTGTTCTATTTGACGGTTGCCAGACCTGGCCCCTGCGCGTTGAGGATGCTAATCGACTTTCTGTATTCGACCATTGATGTTTCCGAAGAATTGCTCGTGTCTGGTGGGAATATCGGGTGAGCAATGACGAGGTTCTTCTTCATGTGTTTGGTACTGATAGTCGTTCAATAACAGAAGTAATCACTCTACACCGCCTCCGATGGCTTGGTCACGTATTGCGTATGCCTGCCCATCGACTACCTTTCCGTGCTCTCTTTGCACGTACTAAACAACGCTGGAAGAATCACCTCAACGATCAGATCATGTCATGGCGTAGATGCATGAAGAAGTTGCCTTCAGCTTTGGCTACGGTTGGTGCAGCCCGCCTTCCAGGTCGGGATCCAAGGGGTGAGGATTGACGCTGAGAGATACGGCCCCGAACAGAAGTCAGTGGTATGAATGCTGTGCGATCTGCCTGTTGAAATCCGGAGCCCCATAAAAAAACAATAAGCTAAAACAAAAAATATCACGTGTAACGTGAAACAAACAAAAAAAAATTATCATGCCCGTATTTCAACTCAACTTTCTGATCCCTTCACTCTGCTTTGTATCCCAAATCTCATGTTCTGTTACCCTTGCTGTTGCGTTGGTATCAAGCTTGCTCACAAGTGGAAGATAAATGTATACCATTTATGTCGTTGCGTAAAAAATGAGGTTAACATAGTTAGCTGATAAGGACAGGTATTACGCATGGCTTGCTGCCATCTGCCGGCCCGCCACTTGTTCCCTGTTGCTGCTGCAGGTTGTAGGAAATAAAGTGGAGGTCCACAGATGACGTAGAAATGAGGTATGAAGAAAAGCAGAGCGATTTAATAGGTTAAGTGCCACACATCTTCCCGGTTGGGATCTATGACATCTAACTGATTGGTTAGAGGTACAGAAGGACATGGCAACGAATCAGCAGCTGTGGCGTTCCTGTTGTTACTGCTAATCAAGTTAGAATGCTTGGAAACGTTTTGACGCAGTTATATTACGTACTCTGCGCGTTGAGCGAAGAGATTGGTCACTTCCCTTAGAATAGGTCCAAACTCCATCCTGTACATTGTCAGTTTCGCAGTGATCGGGAAGAAGTGTGATGAGGGACATAGTTAGGTGTTGCAAACAATGAGGTTTGTGCACCTCTTCCTCCATGATCTTACAAATAAAATATTCCGCTAAAATTTCCGTCAGTTTTATTCATCATACATAAAAGGCCACAAAGAACCCTTGTCCAAGATCAGTACAGCTCGTTTTCCCAAGGGTAATCTGGTATCCGGGGGCTGCGCGGTTTATTCCGTAACCAGCTTGCTTTGGACCCTGTGGTTCGAGCACCTCGCACTACCAACTTTGGTGATGGGTAGCTTTGTTTTCGTCCGGTTCAATACCATGCCGGACTAAGCGGTACCTTATGTGATTCGCCACATCAAGTCCCGAGGCTTTGGCTACCGGTTTCTTTCACTGAACGGTAGGTATTCGTGATTATGGGGTCCACTCCGTCTGCTGTTCATTAAACAAGTGTGTGAAATAAGGATTTAAAATATAATTCAACGGTCGTACCATTGAGCTTCCATGTGCAACCGTGTGAGGAAAGGATCAATTTCCGAACGGGTCTTAAAGGCATGAGATCACAGAATACCCCACGAGAACGAATGAGGTTTTCGCAAGTATACTTGCTCAGACAGACCCAGTTTGCTACATGAAACATGAATGAAACAGCCAAGTACGCAGGTCTCTCCAAGCATATCTCACAATGAGGCGATTAGTAACTGCTAGTGTTGCATTCGTTGGCAAGTGTTTGAATAACAATTCGCTTTCAAAAATAACTCCTGTATATAGTGGAGCGGATAGAACACTACTTCCCGCTGGGGATAGACTAGTCTGCCGTGGACGGTAGGCCGAATCTCTGTGAGAATTGGCTGTGGTCGAATAGAGGATGCGTATATATGTATGATAAGACCAATTGAGTCACACTCGATTAGTTCACGCTGTTCCAAATCATGGAACGTTTTCCTTTTCATAAAACTTTTTGTACCATGATTTGTTTGACACAGTCTGGATTCAGACGTGTGCGAAAATATATAGTTCATGCTGTACTACAGTTGCCTGAGGTTTACGATTAGGTTGGACATTGTGATTCCTGACGACCTTATGACATGCGATTCAGGTAATAGAACCTCATTGATAACAAACCGGGGCAACGATGATGGGACTTCGAATGAGTAGTTATGTGAAGCCCGGAAATCGAACCTTGATACGGCTCGTTCGCTTCCGCCACAGTAGTTTCTGATGCGTACGAACTTCATTTACGCATTTTTTTATTGGTTGACCAAGGGGAGCAAACAAACCGGTACATGAAAAGACAACTGTATTGCTTGTGTTAACTGAAAGGATTTGATTCTCCCACTGCTTTAAACTACACGTTGTTCGTTAATAACGACAGTATGAAGTATTGTATATCGATCGATACATCTTCCCAGACGTTTTATCGTATACGGCACCTAAGACCGCACGCTCCTCTATCTCAAGCNAGTTTGCCGAACAATACTGAACAATACAACCTACGGTCACCGCCAGAAGATAGTAACCGGAGTAACAGCGTGATCAGTAGAGTGTCCCGTGTAGGGGCGAAAAAACAGACGGGATGAATACACGGGGTCAGTCCCTCCAAAATGGAATGCAACTTCCATAGTCAAAACAAAAGACGACGAAATTTGTCGACGCATGATATGTGTTAAACATATGAATACAAGGAAGTGATTGGGCGAGGTGGGATGGGAAGGTAGATGAGAAGAGACATACAAGTGAGGAAAATGGAGTATTGGGTATCATGACAGGTAGACAAAGAATCGGAATTCTGGAAAAGAAGATAAGTTTCAGAAATCAAATCGATCGAAGATACACCCGCCATCAAGGGACGTGCTTACGTTCATGCAAACATATAAGGAAATAAAGCTAGAGAATGAAACAGGCCATTGGGAACGATGCAAATATCGCCTTACAAAGTATGCATGATTGAACGGATCAGATAAATGTAACACAGTTGAAGTTGGGTATGGAACAAATAAGAAGCATGCACATGTCTAATCAAGTTTATACATGTTTTGAACTGGGCATGACGGGCGAAAAAGTCAAATGGTTCGGACCACTCCCACGATCTGTTGTGGACGTAGTGGTCAGTACCGGGTCCACAGTTCCGGAATCCAATGCGATCGAATACGAGGCCCGATCATGTGGAGTGCTCAGTCTGAATGGGAGTTCGGGCGGCGGAGCTGTATCCAATTCGCTCGAATCGCTACTCCAAGATTCGTTAACAGGGAGAAGGAATCGAGCGTCCGGTGATTTGCGAACACTTGGTGATTGTTTCGGCTTGAACCGAGAACGTTTATTACGTGCTCGAGCGTCAAATTCCTTTTCATTGACCTCGGATCCACGTAACAGTCCAGGAGAATTGGCAGCAGATCGAACTGTTGTTAAAGTTTTCCAACTGAAGTCCAGATCCTAGAAGAGGAAAAAATGCCGTGGATGAAATGCGCAGATAATATCACGATTAAAAGCGTTTCTCAATAATCTTCAGCTTCTCTGGAAACAGTTGATTTCTGTCCTTTCCCTGTGGAATATCTGAACTACCCGTAAAGGAAATGCTGCCTCGTAAAAAAACATCCACCCTGAAGTGCGAGGACGAAAACTGATTCACCGCTTGAGTTCGTACTGAGGCTGATCAACCATCAGCAGCTTGCAGGAGGAGTCAGAAAACCCTTGGTTTACACCTAGTTATGGTAGTGTCATAAGGAGCAATAAGCCCTGTGGTTTTTGTGGTATCATCCCGAATCGCTTGTTAGTTGAGCTAGGGCGGTTAACCGCATTCGAAGGATAGCAATCTATGTACAACGGGTGTGGTTGATCTCTTAGTTTGATAAGCTATTCGTTCGACTCGGAGATCACCCAAATCGACTTTGCAGTTCACCTGCCGCGACCTTAATTCCACCCGAATATGCCCCATTGTATGAATTATCAGCAACATATGTGTGTTCTCAGGCTAGTAAACAGCAACTGCGGGTGAGGAGGGTGTGTGACCCACCACGTATTCGAAAGTGAATCAGTGGCACCGGTAACTGGGTATGAGATGACGCGAATCAAATGCCTACCTTTAACACGGTCATCATAAACACACCGATGGTGATGAGAATGAGGGCCAGAAACAATTCGACATAATCCATTGGGTTGAGGGTCATCCATTCGCGGAACAGGATAGCTGAGGCGATTAGCACGAATCCGGTAAAAAACACGTAGAGCAATGCAGTAACCAGGCCGGTATTGAACAAATCCAATGCTCGATTCAGGTAGTACAACTGAATGGATATCCCGACAATGAGCACGCCAATTAGCATCCAGAAGAACCAAGAGGTCAGAGTGTTGAGGAAGTCTTTCAAGATTGCCTCCTGGAAACAACGAAAAATGAAAGGCACACAATTTACTAAATTTAATTATTCCAAGTGGACGAAATAAATCAAGCGGAACCTGACCGCGAATTCCGCGTCACGGACAATTCAAACATAGTTGAACAGAAAACTGAACACAAAATGGAAGGTTGATTCATTTCCAATATATGGTATGTAACGACACAGGAGGATTTTGGAGGGGTGACTAGTTCAATTATCTGGCATCGGCATGCATCGAGCAAGCAAATATTCGGTCGCATTCAGCGCCAGACACACACAGAGAACCGAACAACTACAAAAAAGAGTTTTCCTCAAACTGCAATACAAAGTGATGACATCAGTCGATTAGGTAGCAAGCGCTCGAAACTTGCCGTCAAGTGTGTCCACTACGGAGTCGATCTGTCACTGTCTTCAACAGGACTCGGATACCAACGACCTTGGCAAAAGAGCCATCATCGCCCTTCGCCAAAGCAAACTGCACCTATCAATACAGGTGAGGATGCTTAAACATTTACATAAGGAGGACAGAGAAGCAGTTACGTCACCGAACATATCCGAAGATATTCTCGTGAGGCTTAAGAAAGTGATGAATGACAAATTTGAAACTGCTATGTCGTTGATCGAACATAAAAGATTCAAATCAAACATCTACATGAAAAGAAACACTCGAAACCACTCAATTAAGATCAACACAACAAACATCAGAATAATGCAATATATCAAGGCTCAGGCTATTCACAATCAGAAATCCGATCCATGCAAAAAACAACGCGAACGATTGTTTTTGCCTTAATGACTGACCCTCAAACTTCCATCCTCGCTTTTTCGTGTGGTGTTCACCGTAGTAATTAACGGTTTTGTCTTTGTCTTACTTTTGTTACTTCATTGAATATAAAAATCACCTTGACTACATCACGCACTTGGACACAGGTGCAGCGAAATGATCACGGGGAAGCATTGTGTAAATTCGTGTTTGTGACTTTCGTGTGTTCAAATTTGTGATGGGAAAACAATGTTCTTAATTGGAGACAAAGAGTTTGGATTTCTCCACCAAAACCAGTCAAGGAAGGTAGTCTTTCAAATATGACCAATTGACTATTTGGTACTATTGAAATGAGCGATGCAAAGACAAAATGGAGTTGAATGGAAACGGTATTCATTCACAAACATACATGTCACGCGGTGTCAAGGTATTGAAAATCGGTACGTGTAGCTCGGGTGGACTGAATTCATTTTCACCCGTTCTCCACCCCACATATATTGAAGATGACACGTAGACTGATGATGAAACGTTTGCAAATGAAATACCAAGCTCAACGAATAGGTGAAAATGAGAACATATTACATGATATGCAGTAATAGAAGTGCACATAGGTCAACAACCAGTTTGTCTTCTCAGTTCTTTATGGTGTTATCGAGTCCTCTAGGCGCTGAGTCTAGCAAGTTCGAGGTATAAACTTCGGATGTGTAATTTTCCATTATGAATCTGGGACTGGGGGATGAGCACGGTAAACAAAATCTCAAACATGATCAGATCAAGGCGGTCAAGGTGGTTTAAAAGCAAATGAATGTTAAGGTATTGCCTTTTCGGTAAACGGCTAACAAACCTTGAGTTAAACACGATATGCGGCATTATTCTGTAAAATAATCAATTTTCCGGAACTAGCTTGTAGACGCGGTTATAAAAAGTTTCGCGCAGATCGGTAGATCCTCGTGACTTGGGCTGTGCAATGAAAACACAGTTTGCTTGGAGTGCATCAAGTTGTACCTAACAAATTTCGCATCATCCATTTCGTTCGGTTAATTCCATAACAGATAGAAACCTGATGTCAGGAAACTCCACCGATCACACTGTGAAATCCCAATACGGCACATTGGATGATTCAATTGAGCGTACCACCTGAACAGCATACTCCATACTGGGCTCAAGATAAAAAACACTCGGGTCAAGCGATGAAGGTCACCAATTTATCGGCCCAGAAGACGTATTCGAATCCCACCATTACCACCCAACACCCTCTACTTTCTATCGTCTAGCAATTGTTTGATTGGTCACTTTCCCCTATCCTGAAGATTGTTTGCCTTATCATACAAACAATTAGAAGGAAACAAAACAGACAAAAGAATAGAAACTGTCGTCTGTGCGGTTTGTACATGAAGCGCATGACTACCGATTATCGGAATCTCACACAGAGAGACAATAGTAATCGTCCGGCAATTGAATGTCTAACAAGTTGTTCGCAAGTAGCTTGTTCTCTCCTCCTCGTCTATTCACAGTAATCTGCACTGATAATGAGTATGTGTGACGGTAGTGACTGACCATCAATGATAAACGTTAGTCGGGAATTCTATTCAACTTTGCGATCGATATAATTTTGGAAAAGGCCCCGTGGTCTTACTAGGACTGTGTCATTAGTCTGCTCCCGGTTGGAGTTCGAAAACAACAGTGTAATAGTACGTGAACAGTCAAGCAAGTTGCTAAGTTTTGCGGATGGTTCGAGTCCTAGTGCAACCGCGTTAAGCACGCGATTTTCTCATTCAAGGTATGAAATGTTATCCAGGACTAGGAAAGTCCAGCTCCCAACCTCACTCTAACTGGGGCAGCAACAAAGAAATTAGATAAATTTCGCTACTTGGAAAGCCACATCTCACCTGGTGAACGCATCACAGATCAAGTATCGACACATACAAAAGGCTCGGTTGGCGTTTGTAAACTTCAGACAACTCTGACAACGAAACGAAATTCGCTTTTGTGGAATGGTCGAGTGTATGCTGTAGTGGTTTTACCGGTTCTACCATATAGTACAGAAACTTAGTCCTTATGGGAAGATAGAATATCGCTGTGGGAAAAACGCTGTCTAAGTTTCTTGCACGAGTCTGATAGAGCAACCGGACGAGCGACGCCGAGGTTAGGGGCAACCATAGGTAATCGAAACCGCGTTGGGGCAAGTGATCAACATCCATTCACGACGTTGGCTGGGGTATTTGTGAAGCGTCACCCAATAAGCTCCCTCAACGTGAAATTTTTCTTTTTTCGATGGAAAAAGTCAAATGTTGTTAAACTGAGACCAAGTAGAAGGTTGTGAAAACCTTGACCAGGGTACTGGGTGATATAGGTTGCAGTATGCTTCCTAGATGGGGACCTCGGGGTCATTGTAACCGACCATTAGATACACTTAGTTATGTGGATGAGTGCCATAAACGGTCATGATCGTGCATCCACTTAATACCTGTACAGTTTTAATTCATCTGAATTCTGTTTTCACCTCGATACTGCTTCCAACATCCCAAAATTTCCCCTACTTCTTCATTCAAATCGGTAACTGATGTATGAACCACTATTTCCGTCTTAAAAGTGACTATTTCGCCCGATTTTTCTCTATTTTTGTAATTATTTTTATAAAATTT